AGAGTCAGCTACTGATGATTCATTCCTTTCAGAGAGGCACGCTGTGTGGAACTAGGGAAGAGGGTCGGACCTCTCTTATGAACCCGCAAAATAAATATGGATCAGGAGATTTAAAAACTCGCCACAACTTACAAAAATATATACACTTCTTCTTTAGTAGCACGTTTTGATCACTGGTGAGGTATTTGCACGATCAAAACAACGGAAGCGTTACAGAGATAGACAGACAGCTCATCCAAAAGCTTTGCTTGATGTCTCGGCGAATCATGTGACCAGTGTTTGTGAAATCATTCCTCCAAACATGGCTGCTCGCTCTGGAAGAGGCACTGGAATAACTTGTTAATTTTACTCGGTTAGATCTAATTTTGAGCAAATGGTAACGTGTGTAACTCAGGTAAGGTACCGCACGCTGGCACTCTGTAGATAAAAGTGAGATCGACGAATGTTCGTCGTAAATAAGCTGGTGATACTTAACACCGTTAATGCTCTTATATAGTGGAGTATGCATATGCCTTCCGAACTCTCGTGAACGCTGCATTCACATGTGGATTGTCGTCGTTATGCGTTGCGTTGAGTCTGGCATTGTCTACACAGTTGAGGCGACACAGTTCATATGTTGCACCGTATTATGCATTACGGAACTTTAGAATGTTGGAATACACGTTATTAAAAGACAATCCTGTAGTAGGAGTCTTCAAGTGAAAGAGGCTCATTACTTCACTTGATCATTGTCAACGCTGTGATTCGACCGAGGCCAACGATAATAGATGTACCGTATCATGCACGCATAATATTTGTTATTTCTTGAAAATATAAACAGTAAAATTGGTGGGCAAGATGATTTAAGTTGGTAAAAGATGAGACAAAAGCTTGTAAAGTCTTTGTGACTCTGTGTCTTGAAGTATTCACTGCATGTCACTTGAGGGCTGAAAATCCAAATAATTTGATTAGTGCATTATTTTCTGATTTTGTTACCGTGACACTACAGTGTGGTTCACTGCCACAACATTTTATGATTTTCCTGTCGTTCACAATATTCATGAAAATTTGTATGCACTGAAATTTAAGGAAAATGGTGTTCATTCTACTTTACGGTTGTTTTACCTTTTGGATCCCATGCGACATACATGTACATGTATACAACATGTGTAAGATACATTGTCAACACAAAATATCTGCACAACAACCACCAAGCACTGTATGAATTGACCCCACCCACTATTAACTGACCACGCCCCTGGACCACTCCCACTGTTGTGTATTTGACCACACCCAGGTAATAATCTAATGTGGGTGTGGTCAGGTAATAACATAATGTGGGTGTGGTCAGGTAATAACCTAATGTGGGTGTGGTCAGGTAACAACCTATTGTGGGTGTGGTCAGGTAATAACCTAATGGGGGTGTGGTCAGGTAATAACCTATTGTGGGTGTGGTCAGGTAATAACATAATTTGGGTGTGGTCAGGTAATAACCTATTGTGGGTGTGGTCAGGTAATAACCTAATGTGGGTGTGGTCAGGTAATAACCTATTGTGGGTGTGGTCAGGTAATAACCTAATGTGGGTGTGGTCAGATAATAACCTAATGTGGGTGTGGTCAGGTAATAACCTAATGTGGGTGTGGTCAGATAATAACCTAATGTGGGTGTGGTCAGATAATAACCTAATGTGGGTGTGGTCAGGTAATAACCTAATGTGGGTGTGGTCAGGTAATAACCTAATGTGGGTGTGGTCAGGTAATAACCTAATGTGGGTGTGGTCAGGTAATAACCTAATGTGGGTGTGGTCAGGTAATAACCTATTGTGGGTGTGGTCAGGTAATAACCTATTGTAGGTGTGGTCAGGTAATAACCTAATGTGGGTGTGGTCAGGTAATAACCTAATGTGGGTGTGGTCAGGTAATAACCTATTGTAGGTGTGGTCAGGTAATAACCTAATGTGGGTGTGGTCAGATAATAACCTATTGTGGTTGTGGTAAGGTAATAACTAAATTTTAGTATATTCATGTAATAACTCACTGGGCATGAACAGGTAATAACTCAATATGGGTGTGGTTAGGTAAAACCTCAATGTAGGTGTGGTCAGGTTATGACTCCATGTGGGTGTGTCAGGTAATGTTGGCATGTCGTATGGTGGAGATAGGGATGTGAAAAATATATAATTCTACCAATTTTTAGCTTGACTCACACGACTCAGATTGATACAAAACTGAGGCAGTAATCATGCCAGTTGAGTGTAATAAAGCAGTGGAATATTTTTAAATCTCCATATTATGTAATACAAATTTTGGTAATCTGATTGGTCAATGCAAGCAAATTGAATTTGATATTATGGCTTAGTTGGTTCACATAGTTTCACTGAAGTTGACCATTCATGTTCGTTCTCATGAACATATGCCTGATCATGTTAGGAAAATCTGTGAAAATATTTGACCTTAGTTAAATTTGATTTGATTCGGCACACAAAAGAGCTGGATCTATCAATTTGCGTTCCTGTAACAACTTGTCTTTTTATATTACGTCAAAGCTTAGCTGATAACAACATGCTATTTTGCGTTTGATTTCGCATAGAAACACATCACAACACGTGACTTTGTGTTCCATTTAGCATGGAAATGCATCAGTAAATACAGGTTTTATAATGGTATCTGCCAAGGTATAATGCTGAGGAGAAGGTCGAATAAAAGAATTTTGGTTGGTGAACGTTACATCGTGTCTGACATTCCCAAAATACGTCAACCTTGATTTTACGCCATATTGTAGGATTTTTGGGAATTATATTTTGAATAATATCCACTATCAGAAAGACGTGTTTTGTAGAGCCGCATACTGTGGAATACTTTATTTTCGCTGGAATTAATTTTCACTGAAAAGGCTTTTTGGGCGTTTTGTATGGAATTTATTTTCACTGACTTTTGATTAGTTTAATGTGAAATATAGGAAAAAAAGTATATTCACTGGATTTTATTTTCACGGAATCATCCTTTCAGTGAAAATAGCGAAAATAAATTCCAAGCGAAAATAAAGTATTCTACAGTACTATAGAAATATGCACTAAGATTAATTTTAGTGGATTTCATTTTGCAGAAATATTTAAATTCACTAGATTGTGTCGGGAAGATTATATCTTTACCTGGTTATCTTTGTATATTTACTGGTTTTCAATTGAGTGCATATAGCAGCCAGTGAAAATAAAACTCAGCGAATAATTAAACTATATGCAGTATATGTGAGGTACCTTTTCTAGACTACGATATTCAGCTTAGGTGAGGGAGCGAAGCAACCTAGCGGGGGTGGGGGGGGGTGATGGTGGAAGGGCGGATCGACCTGGAAAAGCCATATCAGAAGGTTTCTATGCTGTTTTCACAGTGTATCTATCACCATTAAAATATTTTTAGAGTGTGTTTGTGAGTGTGTCAGCTGGTGTTGCTGGAAAGTTTTCATGGAGAAATATATATTTGAGAAAGATTTCATGCTGTACGGCAGCAAGAAAGTGTGCGGCTCAAGAAATATATTTATGACTTGAAAGTTCAATCGACAATTAGGTAAGAGGGCGCCAGCCGAGAATGTCAGGGCGCTGTACCCCTGTTCAGAAAAAAAAACTGCATGTATATATATATATATATATATATATATATATATAATAATATTGATAGTTTCAAAATAAACATATTCCTTAATTCCATGAAAACTGACAGTAATTAATGTTTATGGAACAGCTATTGTGTTTGCAAATGAGAATTGAATATGTGCTCACAAACTACATTTCAGCATAAATTGTGTGTTTAAAAGCTGCAATAGGGATATCATAGTTAATCTATTAATAGAAGCAACAATTTATTGTATTTTAATCATTGAAATGCGTTTTATTTTTGCCATATACTTACTTCATGTGCTTCTAATAGAGGAAATATGGTATATATCAAATTATGATCTGGTAATATCAGATTTTTTAGTCAAATATACCCAGTTGAATGCTTACAAAGTTTGGTCACAGCAAGTAGAATTAAATTTAAATATTAGTCACATGCTTGGCTTGGCATGCTTGTCAAAGAACATATTTCCCTGAATTTCACTCTGATTTCTGTCAAACTTGGTATGAGTATCACACATGGTCAGTTACTATGGCAATGTCATTTTGCAATGCATCATGGGAAAGGCCGGAAAACCCTGTTAATATTGCAGCATTCTCAATGGTGCACTACATTAGCAAAGGATATTGTAATTGGTATTTGTGCGTGAGGTTTTTCTGGTTCACGTCGATGGCTATACTATATTCTTCAGTGGAAAAAGTGATTTTGTGATGTGAATATTGGGGAAAGCAAGGTCGTTCAACTCAACAATTGTCTTTGTGTTGTCATTCATCATCTAGAATATAGTTAAATATTATGTGAGTGTATAAATGCCGAAAGCAGGTTACTGCAAAAAAAAGTGGTTACTATGGAACAACTGATGTTTTCGTCTCAATGTGGACAGCATAAATAAACTCTGTCTTGAATCATGCAAACATACAGACATACATTTACATAATTTGGCATGTGACCTCACTAAATAACTTTTTCTTTTGTTTTTTTGTAGTTCTTTGATGGTCTTTAAACTATGCTCTTGAGAACTGCAGAAGAACATTAACGGCAACTAAACCATCATTGGCTGCAATTGAACCATTAGTGGAGCATTCCACTGGTGCCAAACTAAACCATCATTGGCTGCAATTGAACCATTAGTGGAGCATTCCACTGGTGCCAAACTAAACCATCATTGGCTGCAATTGAACCATTAGTGGAGCATTCCACTGGTGCCAAACTAAACCATCAGAAGAATGTTCAATTGGCAGCAACTAAACTTTACTTCCATTTTGAAATTGCTCTAAAACAACTAGAATTACTATTTAAATGTACATGAAAATACATGCTCACATCCTAACCTGGAATAGCTCATCTTCCATCTTAACATGATATCTCTTCATAGACTCGCAGTCTGTCACTTTAGATCACAATGTAGAATGTGGTGCAATCATCAACGTAAAATTACCGGATTTGTGTTAACAAAAAAGGATGGAGATAGTGCTGCAAATAAAGAAAGGTCAGAGGATGATAGCAGTAAATCAGAACGGAAAGTCCCTTATCTTTTAGATGAAGCCATTCACATTAATCGACAACCCTCAAAAGACTATGCTAAAATAGCGAGAAGGGCTTTCTATGCTGACTCCAAACAATACAACATACATAAGTTAAAACAGTCTGTGCAGAGTGATAATAAGGATATCTCAATCAAGGCGGAACGCTTCTTGAATGACATAGCAGACTGTCAGGATAGTGTTGATACAAATGAACTTGTTGAAGGATTCATAGTTCTTAGTAATTTAGACAAATGGAAACATCGATTGCTTAAAAAGGATTACAGGTTTCATGTGGCCAGTCAGCATGTCACAGCTGCCAAGTTTAGTTCCGAAGAAATGGTAGATTTACTAAATGCTTGCAGCATTATTCAAGTAAGACCAAATGATCCCCTCATGGTAGCTTTAGAGCGACAATGCACCAACAGTATTTCGAATTGGGATCTAAATACGCAGCTTGTGATTTCTGATCTGTGGCGCGTGATTGGACGCTCTGTTCATAGTATGAATGACAAACTGTTTCAACATGTAGAACTGCATTGGAACACACTGACCAAACATCAACTAGTGCAACTAGTATATCTCATTGGCGAAAATCGATCCTGTTCTCAAACATTGATGGCAAAACTGGAGAATCTACTATTAAAGTATGTGGATGATCTTACAATTAATGAAATAGCTGCTGTGTGCCTTGGTTTCTTCAAGTCTCAAACACGGCTCACTAATAGTACAGTGCTTCATAGGTTTGGTGACCGTGTTTGTGAACATTTACATGATATCAACCCCATCTGCCTTGTTAGTATTCTCAAGGAATATCGATATATTCACTTTATTCATCGAAGGATGTTTGATGCAATTGGCCAATACATTGCACCAAGATTACATACCATGCCCGTACTGTCTATGGTGCATATCTGTCACACGTTTGCTTCACTGCATCTTTTCAATAAACCTTTTTTAGACGCTGTCGCAAAGTGTGCGATCGCGACAGTCCCAAAGTGTCGGAATAAAGACATTGCTAAATATTTATATGCTTTCGGTTCTTTGAATTATGAACCACCAAACGCAGATGAATTCTTTACAGCTATGATTCAGCAAATGCACCGATTGAAGCCTGAATATGATAGGTCGCCCGAGCAGTTGGTTGTCAGTCTGTTATCGTTGGCGTATTTGAACCAATATCATTACAGCCTATTGAATATGGTATTCAGTCCTACATTCAGAAGCATGATTTCAGGTGAGTTTCAGAAGAATACATGGTACATGTTTTATGCAGTAATTCAGTTTGTGGTTTGCATTTCTGCTTGCAGTGATGAAGCACTATGTCGTGTGTGAGTTCAAATTCTGAGTTGCATGTTGTTATGTGTTGTCTGCAATTATTTACATTTTTCATCAGTCGTTTCTGCTGAGGACAGTCATAAGGAGGTTTGTACTCAACTATGAATACTAGCCTTTCTATGTATAAATACTATTTGTTTTGTCCAAGCTTCAGCTTGTGTATTGTGGGTGTTCATTACAGAGTATGGTTCAGTTGTGAGGGCATCGGCTTTCATAAATGTGATAATGTATTGCACGGATGATGGAGTTATTACATGGGACTGTGTGGGTGAAAAGTATGAAGTTCAAGGCCTGAGTGTCACTTCTCTTTGGCATAACTTTACTTCTTGAAGTTAGTCTGGTGATTCATTAAGAAGTCTGATGACATTTGTCCCATACAACAATTAACATAACATAACACAAAGACACATCGCTGATTTTTGCAGAACTAATGGCCAGTGTATATGATTTTGTACACTCTTCGAATTAACCTCAATTTTTGGACTAACCTTAGAGTTACTGTGCATCTCAAGAACCCTTCAGTAATTCATCTTCCATGTTCAATACAATGATCCTCAGAGTAACTTGGTTACAATGCTGATTTATTTGTGTAGCCCATGATCAATTCTTCAGAGAAACTCAGCTTCTCAGTACATTATTGCGACTCATTTTTTACTCCTGTGTGCTTCGCACACAATGGGAATCTTTGCAGTTAGTGTGTCTGTATGTGTGTCTGTGTGTGTCTGTTCCACTGATATCTCAAGAACCATATGTTGCATTTTTATGAACTTATTGCATAGATGCTCTAGGCTATTGCCCAGATTTGATTACGTTTTGGTAGAAATCCATGCATATTAATTACCTAATTTGCATGATAATTAAATCATTTTTAGTTGTTCCACTGATAGATACTCTGTACTAATGCACAGTTTGATTAGTTTAAATTCTTTGCACATTAATTACCTAATTCTCTGCTTTTCCACTGATATCTCAAGTACTAATCATTACATTTCAATGAAACTTGGTACACAGATGTCATAGGACAATGCACAGACCTGATAGTTTTAGTTTAATATCTGTGCATATTAATTACCTAATTTACAATTTTCATCCTTTGGTAAGTACTAATCATGAAACTTCAATAAAACTTTGTACATATATATTCTAGGACAATGTACAGACCTGATTAGTTTTGGGTTAAAATCTGTTGATATTAATTCCCTAATTAGCATAATAATTCATGATTCATTTTTGGTTCTAATCACATTTCAATGAAACTGGGTACATAGATGGTCTGTGACATTGTGCAGACCTTGTTAATTTTATGCTCAAATCTGTGCATATTAAGTACCTAATTTGCATAATTAGTAAGTTTTCAGCTTTTCTAGCAATATCTTAAGTACAAGTAATTTTGAATTATTAGTCCCTGTTCGGACGAAGTCCGTAAACAGGGACTTATAATTCGATCTCAGTCCACCTGTCCGTCCGTCCGTCTGTGCGTCCGTCCATCTGTGCATCCGTCCGTCCGTCCAGAGTCATATCTCAGAATCCCTTGGACCGATTCCGTTCATTCTTTGCATGTGCCTAGTACTTTATGTGGGACATATGCACATGTAGTGATTTAGAGATTTGATTCAAAATGGCCGACTGGCAGCCATCTTGTTTTTTGAAAATGTCGTATTTTTTACATGTTTTGTCAGTTTTCATTGAAATTTGGTACATAGATTATACATGTTAGGATACATGTCCATGACAATTTTTTTTGCAATTGGATCAAAGATGGCAGACTGTTTGGTATCTTGGACATGTTTTGTCAGTTTTTATTCTAATTTGGCAATTCTTTATACATGTTAGGATATATGTCCGGGACAATTTGTTTCAAAATCGGATCAAGGATGGTCGAGTGACAGCCATCTGACTTTTTGGCCTTACTGCTATATTTATGTACCATTTTCATTCGTATTTGGCATATACATCATACAAGTCAGTTTGTTTCAAAATCAGATCAAAGATGGCTGAATAATGGCTGTTTTTATTTTTGGCCATATTACTATATCTCTGTCACCCATGTATCATTTTCATTGATATTTAGCATGTCATAAATGGATACATGTACATGTCAATTCAATTTGCAATTTGATCAAATATGGCCAACTGGCGGCCATCTTGTTTGTTTAAAATGTGATAACTTGGTCATGCTTTCACTTTTGATCTATGTTTTTCTTTGCTGTCTTAAACTGAAGGGGTCGTCACGCAACACATGTTTGAATTTGATGTGAATAAATAATCTGTTGTATATGCCACTTGGGACCCAAGTTTCAAGGACACGCACGCGACAACCCCTCCGCTTTAATATGACAGCATATGACTGTGTCATTTTCAATGACTTGTTTTTTAATGCGTCTCCAATACTCTCAGCACACAGAAGTTCTTTCTAAGCTTTCTTTGGTTTACTCCTGTGTACGCAGCATACAATGAGAGTCTTTATCTCTGTGTGTGTGTATGTATGACTGTTTAGTCAATTTTGGCTTTTCTACTGATAGATATCTTGATTATTAATCATCATTTTTAATCATCATATTTCAATAATACTTGGTACATACATATAGATGCTTTAAGACAATGCAACAACCTGCTTAGTTTTGAGTTTAACTACAGTACTTCCATAATACTTAGTACCTGATTTGCATATTACCTTAATTTACTTTTCAGCTTTTCTTCGATTTTTTTTAAAAAAGGATATGTGTTCCTGAACAATGCACAGACCTGACTAGTTTTGGGTTGAAATTCATGCATAATAATTACCTAATTTGCATAATAATTAACCTCCTATATCTCTAAAACTAATTATTCTATTTCTTGGTACATATTAAGTGCCCAGGACAAGGCTGATGGGCCAAATACAAACTACAATACTATGGATCACATTGGTTTCAGACAAATAATTAGTTTTCAAGCTTTTTATTTGAAAGGCTAATCTTAAATTTGAATTCATTTTTAATATGGCTCCAATACTTTAAACACACAGGAGTTCTTTCTAAGTTTTCTTTGATTAATTTCTGCTTAGCCACTGTCCAAAAGTGACAACTATTAATTTAATATTAATCTTGTTTGTCGATCTGTGTGTCTGTGTCGTCCGTCTATCCGTCTGTCTTTCTTTCTTTCTGCCTGCCTGTCCACCTATCTGTTCATCTGTCTGTTCATTCATTGCTGTCTGTCCATCCAACCATCAATTTGTATTTCAGACACTCATTAACCAATTTCACTCAAACTTTACACAAATAAAATAAATCATGTTTTCCATATTTCATGATCTGAACAAAAATTGTCTGGGTTTCGTTTTTGCTGGTTACTTTTATTTTCCTTAAAAGTAATTTTGTGTTACTGGACAGTGCTCAGTACATCAGTGCTATTAATCAGATAATTTATCTTATTTTTGTTTTGTTTTTTCACTAGAGAGAGGAAGATTGGATTCTAATAGAAATCTATTTGTGTTACATTCGTCAGTGAAAATTGAACGTCCTAATTATAATGCTCATAAATTAGCAGAGGTAAGATCAAAGTTATATATGGCAGTGATAGTCATTGGTATGACTATGTTTATTCAAGAGTTTCAAGGTGGGAGAAACAATAGTAAAATATGATATACCATGGTCAAGGAGGAAGATGTATGGACTTGTTGGACATATTCAAATAATTTGCATATTTATTGGTCCACATGAAAGTGAGGGCAGTGTACAGCGGCAACTGCAATTTCAATGGATCAACACCTCTCCCTCCTACATTGGATTTTGACATGTTTGCAGAAATAAAGTTATAACAATGAATTTAATCTCTTATATTTTGTTGGTGATTTACCAGGAGTTCATCCAGCAGTTACCAGCAGAAATATATGGCAGTGTTGAGCATGAAATATCGTCCAGAGCAGGTGTTGCTGAAGTTCTGGCTGTCTTAAAAGAAGTTGTTGGAGAGAAATATTTCAAATGTTGTTTTATTTTACCTCATATTCGATCAATGGGTAACGTATTTTTCAGTGTCTATGATGGTGTGTCCATGGTTACATGTGGTTCATATTTCACACAAACTTGACACACAGACATCAAGTTATACATCAGCACATACAAGTCAATTAAATATGGCCGACTGATGTCCATTTTTGTCATCATTACCGGGGGGTAAGAATTTGATGCAGCTAACATGCTTTGACATTTTGGAAGATGACTGAGAACCTGAACTAGTTTTTGAATGAACTTGGGGGGGGGGGGGGTCCTCATATTGGCAAATTTCACCAAAAAACAAAAGGTGGCTATATTAGTTTAAACAACAACATCGAAACAATTCATCAACTGTTTCGCAGGCATATATTGATCATTGACTCCCGTGTGAAGCACACAATGGGAGTCTTTGCAGTTAGTGTGTCTGTATGTGTGTCCGTCTGTTTCACTGATATCTCCAGAACCATACATTGATTTTTGATGAAACTTGGTGCATAGATGCTCTGGGCCAATGCGCAGATTTGATTAGGTTTTAGGTAGAAATTCACGCATAATAATAATTACCTAATTTGCATGATAATTAGCTAATTTTTAGCTGTTCCATGACTGTTCCACTAATATCTGAACAACCACTCATTGGATTTTGATGAAACTTGGTACATAGATGCTCTGAACTAATGCTAGGTTTTGATATTAATTTTCTGATTTGCATAATTAGTTTTCAGCTTTTCCATCAATATCTCAAATACAAGTAATTTCGGATTATTTTTAATGTGTCTCCAATGCTCTCTGCATATGGGAGTTCTTTCTAAGCTTTCTTTGATTTAAATTTAAACTTAGTATGGACATCAGTTTGTTCGGATTGGCAGTCATGTTGGTCTTATTTTCATGCATCTTTAACCATTCATTGGACTTATTAAGTTCAAAGTAGGTACAAAGAAAAAACAACAGTAAACATTTACATCTTTTTGTGTGTGACTTGATTCAAAATGGCTGATTGGTGGCCATGTTTTTTTTTTCATTTGTCCTTGACACAGTGCCTTCTCATGCGGTCATAGAGACTTTCAGCAGGCAATGTGTTAATAATTTCTTGAACATAACATTTTATTTTTATTTTTGTTTATATTCATTGTTTATAACTTACACAAGCACTAATAACTTAGCAAAAACATTTCTTAACAATGCCGATATTAATCTGATCTTTATTTTCACACCATAGATATAGAAATTCATGTTGATCCTGATGGTAATTACATTCCTCTTAACAAGAATCCGGAATCCAAGATCAATAAAACTGCGCAGTTAGACAATGCATTGTTGCATCAGTTGATTAGCCCTACAGGCAAGAAAACTAAACTGTCTATACCTGGTGTTGCTGTGCAGCTGAACAGTGAATTAACGCAACAGATGGTTGGTACAAAGAACGATAAAACAGTAAAACAATCTAAAAGGTATGTATTATATTTGTAGCCATTCTGTTTGAAAGCTACTGTGGACAAAGATTACCATGGCTGTAAATAACTTAATACATCCTAGTTACCAGTGAATACAGTGAAATTGTCTAAAGTAAGAAAATTACTCAATTCTCAAGGTTCTGTTTATCGAGGTTTTATAATGAAACCTGTCAAAGCTTAAGTGACTACCACGGGTTGATTAGTCAATCTTCAGAGGTGGTTCAGTTTTAGATACTTCAATGTTTATGGATAATGAATTGTGGGTTGAATTTAGACAGGCTTCCAGCTTACACTGGGTTCAGTTTACACAGGATTCAGTATACAAAGGTTCAGTTAAGACTGATTTCAAGAATCAGGATTAACTTTAGGCAAGGTTCAATTTAGACAGGCTTCCAGCTTACACTGGGTTCAGTTTACATAGGATTCAGTATACAAAGGTTCAGTTAAGACAGATTTCATGAATCAGGATTAACTTTAGGCAAGGTTCAATTTAGACAGGCTTCCAGCTTACACTGGGTTCAGTTTACACAGGATTCAGTATACAAAGGTTCAGTTAAGACAGATTTCAAGAATCAGGATTAACTTTAGGCAAGGTTCAATTTAGACAGGCTTCCAGCTTACACTGGGTTCAGTTTACACAGGATTCAGTATACAAAGGTTCAGTTAAGACAGATTTCAATAATCAAGATTAACTTTAGGCAAGGTTCAATTTAGACAGGCTTCCAGCTTACACTGGGTTCAGTTTACACAGGATTCAGTATACAAAGGTTTAGTTAAGACAGATTTCAAGAATCAGGATTAACTTTAGGCAAGGTTCAATTTAGACAGGCTTCCAGCTTACACTGGGTTCAGGTTACACAGGATTCAGTATACAAAGGTTCAGTTTACACAGGATTCAGTATACAAAGGTTTAGTTAAGACAGATTTCAAGAATCAGGATTAACTTTAGGCAAGGTTCAATTTAGACAGGGTTCAGTTTACACAGGATTCAGTATACAAAGGTTCAGTTTACACAGGATTCAGTTAAGACAAATTTCCAGAATCAGGATTCTCTTTAGGCAGGGTTCAATTTAGGCAGGGTTTAATTTAGACAGGCTTCCAGCTTACACTGGGTTCAGTTTACACAGGATTCAGTTAAGACAGATTTCCAGAATCAGGATTCTCTTTAGGCAGGATTCAATTTAGGCAGGGTTCAATTTAGACAGGCTTCCAGCTTACACTGGGTTCAGTATACAAAGGTTCAGTTAAGACAGATTTCCAGAATCAGGATTCAGTTCAGGCAGGGTTCAATTTAGAAGACTTCCAACTCACACAGGGCTCGGTTTACACAGGATTCAATTTGGACAACATTCCAGTTTACACAAGGTTCACTGCAGTTTATATAGGTTTCCTGTTTACACAGCGTCTCAGTTTACAGAGAGTGCCGTTTAGACATACTAGTACATAGGGTTCAGTATACACAGAATTTAGTTTACTGTACATGTGGTTCTGTGTAGATTGATTTGAGTGTATTGTCAACTCCACTTTCTATTAATATGCAAATGACATCTCTACCACAGGCTAGCTGTCGTCATTACCAGTCCTAAACACTACCAACATGAGAGCAAATCACTCTTAGGAATTCATGTCATGAAGCGAAGACAACTCAACCTTCTAGGATACACAGTAATTGAGGTAAGTATGAGAAGCACATATTAAAGCCCCCTAACTATATTGTATTTGATACACAACTAAGGAAAAATAATATTATTAAAAAAATCATAGTACCACCTAGGTGCTACTGTAAAATATGTAAAATCAGCTGCTGCTTCTATTAAAATGGTACAATGCAACAGAATGCAACTTTTATTAGTCCAAGAGCATCTACACATATGAGAAATGGTGAATTTTTGGTTCTCAATTTTTCAATTGGGGCTATGGTTGTGGTTTAAAATAAAGATTTTACAGTACCATACTGAGTGTTATAGTATTTTCATGAACATTTGCATATTGTCTTCAGCACAGCTTAAATGATGTACAGTTGCTTATTGTAATATACCTGATAGTTTAGCTAGCAAGTGTTGTGGAAATAAAATGTTTGTCATTCTGTAAAAATCTGTGCATATTAATTACCTAATTTGCATAATGATTAGAATGGCTCCTGGAAAAACAGTGCATTTTATAAATTAGTCACTAAACTCACAATCAAATATAATTGAAACTGCCTTGGAGTGCCTTACCTGGTCAGTTTATTTTCGAGCTATTATGAAATATACTTGACAATTTCCCTAATTATTGTCATCAAATATATAAGTACACAACATATTTTTCTAATTCCACAGATTGCATACTATGAATGGAATGAGGTGACGAAGAAAGGAGTTGAAGAGTGTAAAGTTTGGTTAAAACAACAAATCGACTCGGCAATAGCTAGATAATTATATAGATGATATTATCTTGACGAGCTTGCATGTGATGTCTTCTGAACTCTTGCGCCACATTAGAATACAGTTTGAAATAACTGCATACTAGCAACCAGATTACACAAATAAACCTGTTGCTGGAAAAAATAGCTAATTAAAATTGGCTGAAAAGACCCACAAGTCTACACATCCTGATACATTGAGCCAACCTTTTGAGCTCAATTTTGTCATTATCACACAATTGGTACTGGTATTTTTTTTTATGACTGCAGGACATCGGAAATTGGCAGTGATTGATTTGATAGACATAACAAGAAGTGTGGCCATCGATGACCTCTTGTTGGTATTGTCAAAGCATTATGTATCCGAGTATTTTAAGTACACCTTCAACGCTGTCTTGCAATGCTATCATAAAAAAAATCATGTAGAATATTGTGAAATATTTATCTATATACTCACATAAATATGATAACTTAACTTGTGGCTGCTCTGTGTTATTTCCACTGGCATCTTGAGAACCTCTCATCAGATTTCAAAGAAATTGTGTACACATTTTCTGGGATATTAATTACCCCAATTTGCACAATAAACAAATTCTTGGCTGTTTCACTGATATTTAGGTTTGATTGAAATCTCAATATTAAATTAGGGAATATTCTTATTCCATAGATATTTCAAGAACCACAACTGGATTAATGTAATTAAATTGTTTTAAACCTAGCAGCAAATATAAGAAAGCCATCAGAGATGCCAGAACTATGGCACTGTTTCTCAGGCACAGTTTTTACAAGCATTGCAATATACTGTAAAATACTTAATTTTTGCTTGGAATACATTTTCGCTAAAGGAATGATACAGTGAAAATAAAATGCAGTGAATATACCTTTTTACCTATATTTTATATTCAAGTCCTCAGAAATCAGTAAAAATAAATTCCACACAAAACACCCAAAAAGTCTTCAGTGAAAATTAATTCCAGCTAAAATAAAGTATTTTACAGTATATCTGAGGTCACATGACCAAATATGTTGATAGTGAATGCAATAGTACTCCTGATATATTTATGCATTTCAATGAGGCCATTAAATTAATGTTCAGATCCAGTGTGAAACGTCTTCAAAATAATCACTGGTTGACTGTCTATCTGCAAGTGTTTTGTACAATATTTATGCATTTTGAGTTTTTATAAGGCAAATTTTTTGAGGAGGGGGGGGATTAATTCTTTATTCCATTAGATTTGTGTGATTCTCAAAGAATTGTGAGATTATTGATCAGAGAGAAGAAATAAAATAAAATTTTATTCCATGTGTAATCTTGTTTTCATCTGCGCGAGAGTTTGATACTTTGATCGATACTCCCACGAAAATTCAACTTTGACTTGTTATGCGGCGGGCAGGGAAAAAAAATGAAGATAAAAATATTTTTTTTTATTAATTTTTTCCACTTACAATTCAGTGGGCGCAAGAAATTACGCTGAAATAAAATTTTATTTTTATTTCATTTTCGGCTCCTGTTCATTTGGCGGGTTCGCGAAACAAGGGATAATAAAAATCTGGCCTAAATATATTGATAGATCTTGTGTGAAATGATTTTAATAAAGCACAAGTTGGATGTCAATCTACAACAGTGCTCCTGATATAACTCTTAAAAGAGGTGGACTGATGCAAGGTGTCTGGTAACCACTATATCTCCCCCCCCCCCCCAACATCATGTGTCGGGGAATAGTAATGCAAGCCCATTCTACAGCACAACTTTAACAACATAACAGTACCGTTAGTGCATAATAACATGTTTTTATTAATATTTTATATACAATATTTACATGTATAATAGATACTACAGCTGCAGACACTTTTTGCAGTTTGCAATACCTGTACAATGAACAACTTTGGTTTTAACAAAACTTATTTAAAATGCAAACAACTTTGTTATTTCTTCATTTTTTTTCTTTTCTCCTTTTCTTCTTTTTATTTAATACTTTATCTGGATTCTGGAAAAAAACAAACACATTTATGATGTATAACATCACACAAATATACTTATTCAAGTTTAAACTGGTCATTTTATCGTCAGTGTTGTGTAGTTTTGTTCAGCCACACAACTTAGCTGAAATCTGAGGATGGAATTTTGCATTGTTATATATAGAAATGAATATGCGAAGTGAAAATGATACTTCAATGCTCAACTATATATTTTGATTTTGATTCCTATTGAATCCCAGGGAAGTCAAGTTGATCATCCGTCTGTTTTTCCCAAAATGAAAAAAGGAATATATGAGAAGGCAGGGAGTTTCAGCATGTTACAGAATACATGGAGGGGAGGTCAGAGAGTTGCAGAATACATGAAGGGGAGGGCAGAGAGTTGCAGAATACATGGAGGGGAGGGCAGAGAGTTGCAGAATACATGGAGGGGAGGGCAGAGAGTTGCAGAATACATGGAGGGGAGGGCAGAGAGTTGTAGAATACATGAAGGGGAGGGCAGAGAGTTGTAGAATACATGGAGGGGAGGACAGAGAGTTGTAGAATACATGGAGGGGAGGACAGAGAGTTGCAGAATACATGGAGGGGAGGACAGAGAGTTGCAGAATACATGGAGGGGAGGACAGAGTTGTAGAATACATGGAGGGGAGGGCAGAGAGTTGTAGAATACATGGAGTGGCAG